AAAAGTAACTCTTGTTCATTTATATCTTGAATTTCTTGAATTTAGGTCTTTTTCAGGAAAAAAATTTATGTAAAGATAATGAAGGCATACTCTTGAAGATGTAAAAATTTACATATTATTGCCCCCCAAATTTAATATTCTATCCTAACTTAAATCTTTTGCCTTCTGCACTACCGAAAGATATATCTTGAGCTGAGGAATGAAACTTTGAAAATTGCCTGGGCCTCACTGGGACACACAGAAGTTCATTGTTCACGACTCAGGAAATATTTCAAGATGGATATTCTAAACTAACCAGAGCCTCTCCAGATACCAGTGTTTCACTAAACTCATAAGAATCTTGAAAGCCTCAAAGATCCCCCAATGTATTCCAAGCAGGTATTCCTGCTATTAAACATAGAGACTAAGGGCTTCTGGGTGGATAAACGTTCAGACTTCTTCAACAAGATGTGACCTTCACCTAAAAGCTGGGAGTGCTCAAAACTCACAGGAATGACTCCAGGAGCCTGTTCAAACAGAGATGACTCATGAAGCTTTGGGAAAACAAAGAAAAAAAGGCCAAAAACAAACTAAAGAGCAACCCAGACACTCAGAGAGCAACAGAAATGACTGAGGTTTTTCCTGGGTACAGATGGAGATCTACTTTGGGTGACTTATTCTGCTTGACTTAGGTCAAAACAGTTTCCTGTTCCCTTGGCCAAATCCCCCGCCCAGCCCCACTGCACTAAGGCCTGCTGGGCTCCTACCCACCTACACACATTGCTACTTTCAATTCTGGGAGCAGCTCTGACAGCCTTGACTTTGACATGTGCACAAAGAAGAGAAGCTCAAGAACTTTTTATCAGGAGAGCACAGGACGAGTAAGAAGGTGAATTCTAGACAACTTAAGAAGTGCTTTGATCTAAAGCTATGTAATGAAGTTGGTATTTAAATGGGAGAAACGTTCAGCTTCAGAGACAAAATAAACAAGGGAAAAGGAAAGGATAGATGGAGAGAGTGAGTGAGAACAAAAGAGTTAGGAATAAGTTTAACCAAGGAAGTACAAGATCTGTACACTGAAAACTAGAAAACATTGCTGAAAGAAAATAAAGAAGACCTAAATAAATGAAAGATAACCCATGTTCATGTACTGTAAGACTTAGTGTTGTTAAGATGGCAATACCACACCAAAATAAAAAGCTTTTACACAGCAAAGGAAACCATCAACAAAATGAAAAGGCAACCTACTGAATGGGAAAAGATATTTGCAAATGATATATCCAATAAGGGGTTAATATCCAAAATATATAAAGAACTTCTACAACTCAACACCAAAAAACAAAACAAAACAAAAAACAACAGCAACACACAAATAATCTGATTAAAAAATGGGCAGAGGACCTGAATAGATATTTTTCCAAGGAAGACACACAAATGGCCAACATTCACATACAAAAATGCTCAATATCAGGGAAATGCAAATCAAAACCACAATGAGATATCATGTCACACCAGTCAGAATGGCTAGACAAGAAAAAAGATAAGAAATAACAAGTGTTGGTGAAGATGTTGGGGAAAGGGAACCCTCATATGCTGTTGGTGGGAATGTAAATTTGTGCAGTCACTGTGGAAAACAGTATGGAGGTTCCTCAAGAAATTAAAAACACAAATACCATATGATCCAGTAATTCTACTACTAGGTATTTACCCAGAGAAAACAAATACACTAATTCAAAAAGATACATGCACCCCTATGTTTATTGCAGTATTATTTGCAATAGCCAAGACATGGAAGCAACCCATATGTCCATCAATAGATGAATGGGTAAAGAAGATGTGTATAAATATATATATATATATATATATATATTTCCATATAATGGAATGTTACTCAGACATAAAAAAGAATGAGATCTTGCTATTTGCAACAACATAGATGGATTTATGGTAATATGCTAAGTGAAATAAATCAGAGGAAGACAAATACCATATTATTTCACTTATATGTGGAATCTAAAAAAAAAAACAAAGGAACAAATAAACAAAAATCAGAAACAGACTCATAAATACAGAGAACAAACTGGTGGTTGTCAGAGGGGAGGGAGTGGGGATGGGCAAAATAGGTGAAGGGGATTAAGAGGTACAAACTTCCAATTATAAAATAAATAAGTCATGGAGACGAAAGGTACATACAGCATAGGGAATATAGTCAGTAATATTGTAACAATGTTGTATGGTGACAGGTGGTAACTACACTTAATTGTGGTGAGCACTGCATAATATATAAAATTATTGAATCACTGTATTGTACAACCAAAACTAATACATTTTATGTCAACTATATTTCAATAATTAATTATTTTTATAAAATAGAAAAAGGAGGGGTGCCTTGGTGGCTCAGATGGTTAAGTGGCTGACTCTTGATTTCAGCTGGGGTCATGATTTGGGGGTTGTGGGATCGAGCCTGGCAACGGGCTCACCACAGAGTCTGCTGAAGATTCTCTCTCTCTCTCCCTTTCCCTCCCCCAACTCGTGCTCTCTCCCTAAATAAATAAATAAAATCTTTAAAAATAAATAAATAAATAAAAATTTAAAAAGGACATTTCCTCTTTAAGAACTGCTTTTAACCTATGCACCCAAGCAATCATGCACACAGCATTTGCTTATAATAGCAAAATATCAGGAACAATCTAAATAGTTAAGGGGATAGACACACTGTGATATACTAGTAATAATACAATAAAATCATACAGTAGTTTTAAAGAATGATTACATATGTACGAAAAGAGAAACAAGCTCCAAGTTATTTTGTTGTCTGAAAAAGATAGCTGCAAATATAGTTTGATGCCACACAATATACATTTGTATATGACATTAATGTATTACTTGTATAAAAAAATTTATAATAATGAAAAGCAAATGAGGGATGTAGAGAAAGAGAACTACGGAGAATTATACAGGGATTAAAAAATGAAAGAACTATGGAAGAAAGAAGGAAGGAAGGATGAAAGGAATGAAGGAAGGAGGAAGGAACAGGGCTAGTGACCAAGCCAGGCTGGATTCACATCTGGAAGTAGGGGCAGTTAACAAGTAAATGCATATATCTCAGGGATGGAGGCTTAGAGGAGGAACAAGTTGATGTCAAGGAGAAGGAAAAAAAGGAAGACTCTAGAAGCCTCAAATTAAAGCTTTCCCAAGATAAGTGGATGGAATGAACCCTGGTTTCGTGCTTAATCTGCTCCTAGTTTTTTACCATGGTATTCCTCACACTGCAGTTGCAGCTTGAGTTGTGTGAGCTGAGTTGACTGTGTTTCTGCCCAGCCTCAGAGGTTTAGTCAAGAGAATGTCCCAAAGGACCTGAAGGGATGGAGGCTGTGGATCATGGACATGTGATCTCTGAAGTAGAAATGCAGAAATCCCAGGGAGACCTACACCTGTGTCTGATCTATAGGGTACCATTTCATTGGAGTTTTTGTTTCATAGAGCCTCTGCAATGAAGATCAAGGCAGGGACACATATGGGAAGGATTAAGAAAGAGAAAAATCATAATGCAAAAGGGCAGCAATATTTAACATAAAATTTTACCAAAGAAGGGACAACACTGTATGTACTAATAGGCTGAATATCTAAACAACACATAAAAGCTGCATTAGTTATCACAAACTTAATGGCTTAAAATAGTATACATTTATTAACTCACAATTTTGGTGGGTCAGGAGTCAGGCACGACTTAACTGGGTCCTCAGTTTAGGGTTTCACAAAGCCACAATTAAGGTGTTCTTTGGTCTGCATTCACATCTGGAGGCTTGACTGGGGAAGAATCTGTTTCCAAGCTTACTTCAATGATGGACAGAATTCATGTCCTTGTGTTTGTGGAACAGAGGGACCTGGCTTCTTGCTGGCTGTTGGCTGGAGGCTGCTTTCAGCTCCAAGAGGCCACATACAGTTCCTGCCACATGGACTTCCCAACATGGCCACTTCTTTCATCAAGCCAGAGATGACAGTCTCCAAAGAGTCTGCTAGCAAGACAGAGTCTTTTGTAATGTAAGGTAGTCACAGGAGTGACATCCATCACCTGTGCCATACTTATTGTTTATAAGCAAGTCACTGGTCCCAACTGCTGCAAAGGGAGGGGATCCCCCAAAGGTGTCAACACCAGGAGGCGGTTATATGAATTACTTTTCCAATTATTCTGGGGATGAAAAGAGACATTGATTATTCAATAAATGTTTGCTTCTGGAATCAATGTCACCAACGTGCTTATATGAAGTAAAAGTGAGGGCGTTAAGAGAAGGGAAACGAAATCCTTGAGTAAGGTGTGTGTTTCACTGGTCCCTCACCGACTACCCTACGGTTTGATCACCAAAACAAAACAAAACTTCACTAATTTCATAGGAGGAAAAATGCATTTGAGTGTTAGTACAAATGCATTTGGCTTAGTACTGATTTGAACATTTTCTATCATTTGTATTTTTAATTTTTTCTTCCATGGTTGTTTCTGCTCTTCACCCATTTGTGTTTTTTTTTTTTCTTTTTTTTGAGATATCCATTGATTTGACTTTTCTTTGTCCCATGCACCCAAATATTCTCATCCCCACTCTGGTCATTTATCTCCTCATTTTGTTTGTGGTGTGTTAGGGTGGGGGGCGAGGTGCGAGAGTGAGAAGGCACACATACAGTTGCTTTTCATTTCAGTAGTCAATTCCATCGCTCTCCTACAACAGCGAATACCACGTTTGTTTTCTAACCGTGATCAGTGTTGACTTCGGGAAACCCTTCTTGGCAAAGTTTGGTCCGCAGCGGCCGCTAGATTTATGGGCAGTCCTAGAAGCTGGTGGCCGCGCCGCTTGCTCCCGGGAGGCTGCGCCGGCCGGGTCCCCTGCGCGGCGGCCTCCGCCGCCGCCGCCGCCGCCCCCTCCCTCCCTGCTCTCCCCGCTGCGCCCCGGGGCGCGCGCCCGTGCCCGGCCCCCGCCCGCGCCGCCGCGCGAGCTCCGGAGTGGGCTGCGGTCACTGCGCGTCCCGGCGCGGGGCAGACGCCGGCCGGGTGGGCGGCGAGGAGTGCGCTAGCGGGACGCCGGGGGCTTTGGCGCCGGCCAGCCCGGCCCAGCGCGTTCGGCTGGGAAACTTCTGTGGGCGCAAGGCCGGAGCTCTGCGCAGGGTCGGGGAAGTAAAGGTAAGGAGGGGAGCCCGGGGGCGCCTCGGCGGCCGCCTCCCAACAACTGTCCGCACCCTTGCACCACGCGCGCTTTGCTGCAACTTTGCCGCCGCCGCTTCTATCCGGGCCCCGCCCCAGGGTGGGGGCTGCGAGGCCGCCGACCCCCCGGGAGCGCCTTTGCTTCGCCGCCCTGTGCTCCGCGCTGTCCGCGCTGGCCGCTCCGTCGCTCCGCTCCCGGCCCCGCTCGGGCCAATTCGAGCCCCGGAGGCCGGGTGGCGCCGCTCGCAGCTCCGCCCGCTGGGGGTCCGCTGCTGAGGGCTCCGCGCGCATCGGCCCCTGGGAACTCGAGTCGTTCGCTCTACAGGCGAATCTTTCCCCCAGATCTTCTGTTAGCCCCACTCTTGCCCAGGCACCTTGGAGCCCAAAGAAAGAGGCCAGATTTTCGAGGGAGAAAAGCTGGTCCAAGGGGCCCTGACGGTCTTAGGTTTCATGGGGAAGTGCAGCGGTTGGGAGTTCCTTTCCCTCTCTGCTAAGGGCATGACTAGGGTCAGTGTTTCACACTGAGTTGGGGACACGCGAAAGCTGTCTCATCAAAGGTCACGCTGACCTGTTTTTTTCTATTTGGGGATCCACCTTTAAAAAAAAAAAAAGGAAGGAAGGAAAGAAACAAAACCACTAAATTACCTCATCACCAAGGTCGGTTACAGAGGTATAACACATTTTGAGGGTCTGTATTTTAGGAAAAGATTAAAGGCACAGAATCAAAATACAATAATAGGGCTATGGCAAAACAACAACAACAAAACAACAACAACAACAAAAAACTGTTTTAGCCAAGGAGACATTTGCAAAACATGATAATGTTCTACATGTGAATAATAAATGGAAAAGTAGAATTAGAAGCCCACTTTTGAACATAATCTAACTTGATTTAGTAAACATCTAGAATGGGACAATCTTTCCTCCTTCCTGACTTTTTATTCTAACTCTTCTAGTTAGGTATTTTGAATTTGCAAGCTTGGACACAGCAATCTCATTTTATGGCAGTCTTAAGAAATTATTGGTCTCGGTTCATACTAAGGTTTGGTGGTGGCTCTTTTCTGTTATTTTTAATATCAGGGAGTGTTGCATGGTCATATCCCTTGTGTGACAGTACAGTAACTTGGCATTGTTCTTTGCGGCAAAAGAAAACCAAACGAGAACTACATGAAACAAAATACAAACAAAACAAAAATTGGACCTCCTTCCACATTTGCAGAATGAAGAGGTCTGGCTGATCCCTGATGATTTTAAGGCTCTTTTCGTTCCCTGAAGACTGGAGAATTTAGGATACAAATACAAATTGAAATGTAGAGTAAGACATTTTCTGTCCTAAAATTTAAACCTATAAACTGGGAGACACTGGAGAGTTGAGTTTCTTTAATCTCAACCGTGTCTCAAAATAGCTGAATCATTGTGCATCCTGTGCTTCTAAATGGTGACATTCTATGCTTATTAAATCAAAATGTGTCCTGGAAAACCAAACTCCCATGCTTCTTAACCACAAGCTGCCTAAGAGCATTGACACACTAGAGCATTCACGTCTGCTTATTTTGAAATAGTCAAGATCAAGAATGGCTATGAAGTGTTGGTTGTAGTGTATGAGTGTAACAACACGTAAGCAACATGGCAGGCAAGAAGTTTCAAAACTGCTTTGGAAAATATCCATGATAGATTGATCTGCAAGCCTGCAAATTGCAGTTGAAATTGGCTTTTGTAATTATGGTTGTTGGTCAACTAGGATTAGGAGCTATAGAGAGTAAGTAAGAGTTGACAAGAGTATATTGAATCATTTAGATTTTTTTTTTGAGGAAAAGGGAAAATGTTTCTCTATGTTATCCAAGTAGTTACAGGAAAATGTCTTAAAGTAAAAGTTATAACAGGTATTTTTATTCTTTTTGAGATTTTATTTATTTGTCAGAGAGAGAGCACAAGCAGGGGGAGCAGCAGGCAGAGGGAGAAGCAGGCTCCCCGCTGAGCAGGGAGCCCGATGCGGGGCTTGATCCCAGGACTCTGGGATCATGACCCGAGCCAAAGGCAGACACTTAACCAACTGAGCCACCCAGGCATCCCATAATAGACATTTTAAAAAATTAAATAACTGAAAGTTGCTGACTTGAAGCCCCTATAACAATGCTGGATCGCCCTCCAACCCAAAGAATACAGGGATTGATTCACACAGACCCAGAGTGAGACCTTCTCATTTTGTTCTTCTTCATTTATATTCTTCAACAGAATAATAACCTTTGGTGACTCTTACACACAGTATGAAATTGGTTCTAGAAAGACAATCAACTAGCTGAGCCTAGGCAAGAATCTTCATTGCTCTGAGCCTTGTTTTTCACTCCAAACAATGCTGATAAAACTACTGAGGTTGCAGAGGTGTTGTGACTCCTAAATGGGTCAGTAAATGGAAGACCTGGTGCCTGGGACATAGTAAGAACACAACTAGTTGTAATTTTCCCTGTCTCCCTTAACAGGTGTTTGCTTACTAACTGAACAAACTATAGGATGAACATTAGTTACAGTTTTTGCTTTCAAATTCAAAAACTCTATGTAGCAAAATCTTGATAATTGTTAAATCTGGATAATAGGTATATGGAGATTTAACATCTAGTATTTTCTCTATCTTTGTATATGTTTATTAATCAGAAAAAAAAACTAAGCATGGATCTGGAAAAAACACATAAGATACATTTCTAATCTTACACTGCACTTTAAATTGCAATTTAAAAATTGTGCTATATGGCCTGGAAGGATGAACACAATTATATATAAGGAGTGAGTGGGTGGGAAATAGTACTTGAGAACAATCCATGGAGATCTTCAATTTTTGTGGAATTTCTTTTATTATAAAAAAAATTTTTACAATGGCAATGATGTTTGTTAATTCTAGTCATTGGGTTCATGGATTTTAATTCTTTGAAATTTTTGTATTTAAAATTTTCAAATTAATATAAAATCACCTTATTATTTTATAAAATTGTTATAAAGAATGCAAACAAAGACAAAAGCATCCCACTATCCAGAAATCATCTTTAACATTAAGTGTATAGATGGATATAGATCACGTATTAACTAATACGTATGTATTAATATGTAACATGCTACTCCGGGGACACAAATAATGTTCTAGGGTTTGTCTGATGTTTGTTTTCAATCTTTGACGGACATTCTAGAAAACAAGCTTATTTGCATTTTGCTTTATGAGACTTTAGACAGTCTCTTAAAATGTAGTATTTATTTAAAACTTTATGCAATAACTGACTTTAAATGAGTTTTAAGTAGCTTAGGTTTATTTGCATATAAGAGATATTTTTAGCTATTTAAAATAGATCTCATAATTTGAAAGTAAGCTTAAATTGTATCAACATTTGAATTTCACTAAAATGCAAGCTCCAGGAGGGCAGGGATTTATAAAATTATTGCATATTAATTAATATTTTCCTGGCCATTTGAAAGTTGATGACACAGTCAATTATGTTATAATGTTTGTTTTGAAATTAAGCATCATGTCAATGCAATGGAAATCTTAGGGAACAATTTGAGCATAGCAGAGATTTTTTGCTTTCTCGTGCATCATTTACTCAGCCAGGATACCATGTGAACACATTAAACTATAATCAGCTGACTTAAGCCATGTAGGAATACACAAAACACAAATACACGTACACCTGAAACATCTACCGGCTACCTTGGTTCACCACAGGTTATCCTGCAAGATTGTGTTCTGCTATTCTTTTGCAGTGATGAACTTTTCTCTATAAAAACACACCCCTTCAGCATCCCAAGAATGTCTAAGCATCTTGATTCAACATGTCAAATAGTGCACGCAAAAGGAAGGCTTCCATATTGAAGAGAAACTTGAAATAATCAAACATTTCAAAAGAATCAGGAGAATATGTGTATTTCCAGCAGAAACAAGGGAATAATTTACATTGCTTATCCACAGGCAGCGCTGCCAAAATAAGAGGAACATCTATGGTTGGAATACCCTCAAGTATTACAAAGTCAAGAAAAACAAGGCCAAAAGAAATAGAAGAAATGTAAAGATTGTAGAACATGTGGGTTGAGAACCAAACAGAAAATGGTCTCCCACAATCAAAGAGAAAGCTCCTATGTCTGTGCAAACACCTTGAAAGGAAATCTCCATACCCTGCAGAAGTGCTCCTTTTAGCACTAGTAGTGGCTGGTTTGGTGGTTTCAAACATCACTGACCCTGGTGTGTGGTCCACCTGGTTATTTAGCCAGAAAAAATGAAAAAGAGAGACTCTAACCAGTTAGCTAGATCACATGAGCTTGTTATGCATGTTTGTCAGGAAGAAACATGAGAACCTGAACTAAATAAACATAGAAAGGTGAGTTCACTTGCTGCATATAAGTCACTTGGAGGAAAAGGAAGTGAAGGTGTCTACCTTTGATTCATATCAAGAAAAGACTGTTTAATGGATCCATGGATCCAGTTTGTCTTGCATTTTTCAGCATGAATCTCTGGTGGACTTATGGCATGACATGAGAGCAACTGCTCAAAAGCCTGCTTGTGCCTTTAACCATTTCCAGTTTAAGGAGAAGTCAGAGGAACTTGGAGCAGAGCGTGGGGATTGTTTATTAAAAGCAATCAAATGACATGGTTGAGAAGGAGAGGTTTACTGCTGTTTCATCAAATGAAGAATTATAGGACACTGAGTGATTCAACACGGGACTGACCTTCCTATCCCTATGTTGCTCAGAAAGTTGTAATTTCTTAAGAAGACATTTAAATTCATTGAATCTAGAACTGAAGGGAGAAAACAAGAATGTTGTTGATTTGTTCCAGTAAGTCCAGATATTTAGATTCAAACTGTATATGAAGCAGTATGTTATTATTTGCATCTGTCTGTCTGGGAGTGATTCTAGGCTCTATCATTTGTGTATCCTTAGGCAACCTAACTTCCCTATACCTCAGTTTTCCCATCTGTAACATAGGGACAATAGAACTA